ACTGGGTGTTATGCACAAACAATGAATCATGGAACACTTCATCTAGAACTAATGATGTAATGTATGGGGATTAACATAAGAATAAAAAAAAAAAAGATCACTCTGAAAAAAAAAAAATAGTATTTCCCCTTGTTCAGTCAACAAAGTCTTAAAAAGAAAAATAAATTGACTTCCTTTTGAAGGAGAATTTAATGGTCTAGAATCTAGGCCATTAAGTACCTTTGCTGAATGGTATACCAAAAGCTTTAAAAACATAAATACTTTCCCAAAAGATGTAACAAACCTGTTACACTATTAGGTATTTTTTTAGTTTCATATTAGATGGACCTTTTCATTTGATGTTTATTACACCAAAGGAATCAATAAACATATTTTAGTGAATATGAACAATAAATACGCCTGCAATATAGGCTAGAATATCAAGTTCCCAATATTCAGCATTATCTGTAGTGTTTGAGATGTTAATCATATGTCCTTACTATAACTATTATGTAGACATAGTTGCTATGGATATCGTTATTGGATAAATATGTAACATTTTTTTCATTCTCTCTCCCCTACTAGAACTATTAGTGGAGTTGGCTGAAAAGTACTATTTTCTATCTGAAAAAGACACTTTAAGACAAGAAATAAGAGTACTTTATGGGCCCAGGACACTTCTGCTGTACCTCTCTACTACCTAAGAATTATGAACATTTTAAAATGTTATGTAAACTGTATATGAGTTTATAGTAATTAACAAAATTGAAAAATAGCGTTAAGAAAGCTAAAGCAGTTCTTGCTTTGGCAGCACATACACTAAAACCGGATCGACACAGAGAAGTTAGCATGGCCTCTGCGCAAGGATGCCATGCAAAGTCACGAAGCGGTCCATATTTTTTTAAAAAAGAGCTAAAGCAAGCTGCTCTCCGTTTGCCTTTCTTAACTCCAAATTTTAGCATGCCATTGCTATTGTTTATCTGGTTGTTTCTACCCCATATTTTATAGTTATTTGCATTCTTTATAGAGAGAAGGCAAAGTGGAAGCCGGGATCATGACGGCCACAACATGGTTGAAAGAGGAACCTCCCGTACACAAACAAGAAACGGTAAGCAATTTTTGAATCTGTAGCCTAGGACTCCTAGAAAACATGTATTGGGACAATTTTAAGTTATTTTTCCTTTCTCTTCATTTTTCAGGGTGTAAAGAAAAAGGTCTTTAAAAAAAAAAGTCAAGGACACAAAGTCGGACAGAAATTTAACTGTCAGTTAAATTAACAGTTTAGGCTAATTTCACATTTCATATCATAAGAACAAAGTCAAGAACAATCACCCATCATTTACATCCAAACCGGAATTTTAACTATACCAAACTATAAATCCAAAATTAAATACACTGTATAGGTGAACAATCCAACCTAACTAAACAGTTTTTCACCAACCAAAAAATTAAATGGAAAAATAGTAATCAATGTCTGTTTAAGATTATTAAATCCAAACATCAAAATTATTCTCTGACTCAAACATATTTTACTTTGAGTCCTTGATCTTGTGATCTTTTTGGTATTATGTCATTTCACATACTACAAAATCTATATTGTCATCGTAAGGCCTCTTTAATAAAGAATCTACATGTGGAAGGTTCTTTGTTATTGTTGTTGCTGGTTTTTTCTTGCTTTTGGGGATTTAACTATACATTTATACTAGCTTGATGATTTGGAACATGGGGTGAATATTTTTCTAACTTTATAGAAATACATGAATAGCAAATGTTGGCAAAAGTATTACTGGATTTTTAAAAAAAAAAGTATTTCTGGATAATACTTTCCCCAAATCTTTTACTAATAAAGCCTCGGTTTTAAGAAACTGAAGGATATATTTAGCTCTGATTGATGCAAAAAATAATAAATACTGGATTTAAATTTGTAGCAAATTTTGCTTCAGAATATCTAAAATATTTTCTTTATTTCTGATGGTCAAGATTCTATCAGATCTTATTTTTAATCTATTAGAACTGTTTTCCAGTTGTGAATTCTTTACTTTGTTAATGCCTACAAATTTGTTTTTTTTCTTAAAGTGTGATTGGAACTATGTGCTGGACTACAGTAAGCAGGCTGTGTACTTTTCACTTTTGAGACCAGAATCAGTCCCTACATCTTAGAAGCTGACTCCTGTGCTCTTTGTTTTCCTTATAGATAATTTCATTACGTGGTAGTCTGTTCAAACTTTTATTTATTTTGGAAAGTTATTCAACTTGAAAAAAGAATGTACCAGACTGTAATGTTAAATCCTTTGCATTTGTTTATAAAACGTATTTTTCGAAAATGCCAAGTGATATATTAGTTACCTGCCCAAATTTAATACCCTTCCAGTGTGATAGATTTGATATTATCTTGACATTTTCTAATGTTTCTGTGACTGCTTCTTATATAGTCTAAAGAGCCTGACTGTCAAGAACATAGAGGTCTAGAACAACCTGCGGAGTTGCCAACAAAAGAAGCATGTGATCCCTGCAGTGATTTTAGTGATGATGAATCAGTGGGAAACTCAAGAATAAAGACTGCTAAAAACAAAGCATCTGACTCAAGTAAAGCTTCAGGTTCTGCTGGACAGCTTACCTTACTCCATTGTGGTTTCTCTAAATTGTTTGAAACAAACTATAAAGCAGTTGAGGATAGTGATGGAAATATTGCCTCTGATGATCAAAGTTCTGATGAACAGCCCATGTGTCTTTCAACAGAAGCCAAAGATGTTGGTTTTCAGAAAAGTCATGACTCTCTTGGTACTTCAAAACGCCAGAAATTAGCTAACATCCTAAATCCAAATGAAAAATGTATTTTTGATAAAAGTGAGAAAATTTTCAAACAAAATATTTCTTCTGAGTCTGATGATGAGAAAAATTTTAAAAATACAGGTGACCACCATTGCATTTTACAGAATGTCACAGAATCAGAAGATAGTGATGTCATCTTTCCCACACAGTACACAACTCAGATATGCCCTAAGAATGGTATAAAGTTTAAGCCACTCGTGGATGGATCTCAAAATTCTGAAACAGAAAATCCTGTAAAAATAAGAAGTAATGGTGATGATAGAAAGACTGATGTCAAAGGAAATAGACAAATTGCAAAACAATTAAATCCTGAGAACATGACGCTGAAATCTATTATGAAAAGAAAAGGCAGTAATGATATTAGTGATGAGTCTGATGACATTGAAATTTCCTCTGAGTCAAGAGTAAAAAAGCGAAGAGCTACTAGTTCTTTGAGGTTCAAGAGAAGAAAGGAAAGTAAAAAGGAGCTTTTCACTTTTCCTAAAACAATGAAGAAAACAAATCAACCGTATGCAGCAGATGGAGATTGTAACTCGCAAGCCATTGATGATTTTTCATCCTCAGATGACGATTTAACTGTCCGCCACATCAGTTTCTCTAAACAGAGCCATACACCAAAAACTATAAAAGCTAGAATCAGTTTCTCTTCAAAATTGCCTAACCATAAGGAAAATGGCACTTTTATGCCAAGAAAATCAATGAAATTTTCAAATGAGAAAGTTGTCAAGCAAGAGCAGCTGTATGAGTCAATGGATAAATTTTTAGGTAACTATAGATATATTTTGAAAACTTTGTTACATATTTGTTTTGTGCATTCAAATAGCTCTGTAAGAGATTCTTAAATCAGTTTGTAAAATAGTTCTATAATCAAGATGCTACACTGAGGCACAAATGAGGAAGTGGGTGGGTGGCAGGATAAAGGGAAGACCACCTAGGTCAACATAGAGAACTTTGTCATCCACCCCAAGGGCCCCCTCCATGTGCCCCATCTGAATCACAGCCCTTTCGCCAGACTTCATTTAGTCTTGATGGGTAGGTGACTATAAGTTTAATGCTCCTCTTCAGTCCTTATGTCAGCATCTCGCCAGAAAGTTTGGTTGTCAGAAGCTTATTTTCTAGTAGATCCCTCAGGAAGTGCTCATGAGAATAATATTCCCTGAGATTCCTGTTGGTAACAGTTTGTGCCCTTTATACTTAAAAGTCATTTTTTGCCAGACATAAAATCACTGACTCACACTTTCTTCAGTATTTTAAATATGAGGCTTCCTTTTCTTTTGGCATGAAGTGTTGTATCACGTGTTCTTTTTCTTCCCCCTTGATGCCCAAAGAATTTCTTTTCTTTTCATTATTGTCCAGTAAATTTACTAGACTGTGTTTGAATGTTTGTCTTAGTTCGAGTTGCTGTAACAAACTACCACGGACTGCGTGGCTTAAACCTTTAGTTCTCATAGTTCTGGAGACTGGAAGTCCAAGATCAGGATGCCAACATGGTCAGGTTCTTGGTTCGGGCCCTCATCCTGGCCCACAGAAGGCTGCTGTCTTGCTGTGTCCTCCCATGGTGGACACAAAAATCATCTCTCTTGTGTCTCTTTTTTTAAAGCCACTAGTCCCATTCATTAAAGCTCCACCTTCATGACCTAATTATCTCCCAAAGGCCCAACCTTCAAACACCATCACGCTAGGGATTGGGGCTTCAACATACGAATTTTGGAGGGACACAAACATTCAGTCCATAGCAGTGTTGGTTATTCTGGGTCAGTATTGTCATAATGTAGTTTCAACTCGGTTTTTATTTCAGGAAAGCTTTCTTGTACTAGTATTTTTAGTCACTTTTTCTATTCCTTTGCTGTGGCTTTCTTCTTCAGAGACTCCTATTATTCAAATACTCAATTTTCTTTGCCTGTCTTCAGTATTTGTCACATTGTCTCAAATCCTTTATCTTTTTCATTTCTTTTTGCTTTTTAAAAATATCCTTCCATTTTTCTTAAAGCATTAGTTATTGTTTGTTCCCTCAGTTTGCAGGTGTTCCTGCAGTCTAGTCTTCATTTCTAAATTTGTTTTTAATTTCTAAATCTTCCTGAGTCCTGTCCACCCTTTTCTGAGTTATTCTAATTCTGACTTATGTTGTTGGTTCCTGTATCTTACTATTTTCTTAATGTCTTTTACCTGGTTTTGAAGTCAGTTACAATTTTAATCTGCTTTGTGAGCATATGTTTATGGCATATTTTCATTCTGCTGCTTATTCTTTTTTCTCATAATAATTTTTATGAGATTTGACCGTCTTGCTCATTTTTATAGAAATTATTTTCCCTGAATTTTTTAAGCGAGGCAGAGTTTAGGAAATTTTTTCTAATTTCACAAAGATCCATATCTGTTTTTTTGTACAGTGCTCAAAACTGTGGTGGGATTTCTTGCCTCGATCCGTACCCACTGCTTTGCTTTAGACCATCTCTTTCCCTCATTCCTAATCTTCCTATCCTGTTCTTTTTGACTCCCTCCCAGCAGTTTCTTCATTGTGTGGCCCTGACCTGGGAGCCCTGGTGGGTCAGTTTGGAGAGTTCCTAAGATCTAGTTTGCTTCATTCTCTCAGGCCTTCTTATCGTAAGCCCCCTGCACTCACTCAGCACTGGAGAACGGAAAACCTTCCCCGATCCCCGTTCCTTCCCAACTCATCTCCAGGTGGCCCACTGTGCTCTCCAGGGCACACCTGTTGGCTATTCTAGGCCCTCTGTTCTCAGATCCATCAGATGCCACCCTGTTGCTTCCTTCACCCACACCCTGATGCTGTGCACAGTGTAGCTGTTGGTGGATTGTCCCCATCTGTTTGTATTTTAGGGTTCATGGGGGAGTGTCTTGTTATCTTAATTTGTTGTATGTGTTGTCCATGGCCTTTTGTTTCACTCAGTTATTGCTGGCTGTTTTATGTAGGGATTCAGAGATTGAAAAAATTGCTTACCCTGCTACCACCATCTGATGAGAATTTGCTTAGTGATTTTAAGAGTTAGCATTGCTTTTAAAAGTGTCTGACTCATTCCCAAAAAAAACTATGTGAAAGAAGCTGATATATAA